TCCCCAAGTGCGATTAAGCAACAGACACCTCTCTTCCCTTTAATATTGTAAACACATCTTGGGATTCTTTAGGAACAAAAACCTAAGGATAGCTCTTCTTGTTATTATTTTAATAAATGGCTTTTGACTATAAACTATATTAATACTCCCCCTCTAGGGTAATTCTATAGGCAAGGTTTATCTTCTCTTAGTGAAATAAAGTAAAGTTATTAGTATTGCATTACATTTCCCCGAACTACCTCAGAGAAGGGTATAGTTTCTTGACAACATCTAACAGAAACTATACTTCTCTCTTGGACACTACATATACCCGTAAGGGATTCTCTATGTTATGTTATTGTTATAGTGTAAAATTAAGAAGGCTTTCACCTATAACAACATTAAGAGCTCTGCAATTTTTTGCAACATGGCTAAAGCATTCTTGAATAATTATATACATAGACAACCAAGTGGCTTTAAGGCCAATTACTCAAGAAGAACCATGCCTATGACAGAAGGATATAGTGAGGTTTTTTTGAAAGTTCTGTGTGAAAAATGATGTGTAGGTGCATAAGATTAGATGAGTTCCAAGTTTAGAGAATTCAGCAGATTATCTTACAAGAATTTGGGATACAGAAGATTGGCAATTAAATAATTAAACTTTTAAAAAGTTAAAGAGCAAGTGGAGTAAGGTATTAATAGATCATTTTGTAAGTTATCTAAACATGAAGAAGATGCACTTCAACAGCTACTATTTTGTCTGAATTTAGAAACTGTTGATTGTTTCATCCAGAATTGGACAAAAGAAATAAATTATACATATTTACTTTTTGGTTTAATTTATCAGATGTTATCATATAGTTAAAAATGCAGAGCATAGTTGTTGTTAATTTTGCCAGAATGGATATTAGCTTTGTGGTGACCAATGTTCTTAGAAGTATCAAAAGAGATAGTGGAGTTACCACAACAATAAAGATCATTATTTCAGGACTGTTAGGACAAAGAAAACTATACAAGAATCTAGCATAAAAGCTGTTAGCAGCATGAATCAATTGGTCCAAGAATAGTTAAGTAGAGCAGATAATTTGGCATTTAGATTAATCACAAAGGACTATAGATTAAGATTAAGTAAAACACAGCAATTATTTGAAAAATTTTGTAGATAAACAGAAGAAAATATATGTTTAGCAAAGGTTGAAACAGTAAAAATGTTTTTAGGATAATTAGAAATAGTGGAAAAGGTGTCTTGCATACAGGACTGTTTAGGAGCAATAATGAAATTGCATAAACAGAAGGGGTTTGAAAATTCAATAAAGAATGTAAGTATAAAGGTGGTAGTAAGAAGAATTAAATTAGTAAGAGTACAAGATCATCAAGTTGACTTGCCATGAGATCTGTTTCTATTAAGAGCTCTAAAATATTATCATGATAATCTACCAAATAAAATAGATCCAGTAATATAATATTGGAATTTAGCTTTAATTGCTTTAGGATTTAGGATGATGCATAGACTAGGTAAATTATGCAAGTTGAAGTTAAATGATTTAAAAAGAAAGATGGATTTGATCTGAATTAGGGTCAGAAAGGCAAAGATGGCTTGTTTGCAAATAGCAGATTTGTGTCAGTAGAATTAATTGAGATTAAATTTTGTTTAGTACAGTTATTAGAAAAATATTTAAATATAAAACCAGAGACTGAAGTGAAACACCTTTGTTTTTGTCTAAAAAGCAGAGAGAGATATCAGTTTCAGCAATTTTATCAATTGTTAAAAGAATGACTGAGCATGCAGAAATTAAGAATTGATTTATAGCTTATAGCTTACATATTGGAGATATGATTGCAGCAATAAAAGGTAGGATGTCTTTAATTCAAATCAAGATAATTAAAGGATGGGATTCAAAGGCAGTTATTTTGTATTTAAAAGCAGTAGAGACAGCATGAGAGAGGATATCAAAAAAAATAAGGTTTTAAGATTATGGTTTTGGTTTGGCCTGTTTGAATTTTTGTTGTTTAATAATAATGTATGTTTGCATATTATTGTTCAGGTTATATATATTTGTATTGTATAATAAGAAGAAGGCATTCACATCAATTTATTTTAGATTTGCAAAAAGAGAAAAAAAAAAGAGAGACAAGAAAAAGACAAAAAAAGGAAAGAAAAGAATATAATTCAATTCTCTTGATGATCTCATTTGTGTATTTCATAGTATTGTTTTATGAGAGATCAAGTAACAAATATAATGTTATGAATGAAGTTACATAGCAGTCATTTGTCATAAGATTCATATCTTATTTACTAATGTATGCTATTTGTAATTTGTATATAATTAATAGGTATAGAGTTATGAATATATGAATAATTAGAGAAATAAGATGACATTATATCATTTAGATAAGTATAAGATCATAATGAAAGATATATAAAGAAGACAGTTCTAAGGTTTTTGAGTTACTTTTTCTTTTTGCTGCAAGCTCGATACAAGTCTAGCTATTTGTAAATTTCTTTCTTCCATCTGGAAAGAGAGATGAGGCAGGTAAGAACATGATAATACAATTGGATATGCTGAATGCCAAGAATAGTAGATAGTCTAGATGAACAGTCTGGATATTATACAGTATTGATAAAAAATTAAGCAATATAAGAATTATTACAAGAAAGAGTTAGAAATGATTCTAGAAAACAGCTAGTGATCACATGATGCAGTAAAGCAATATACTATTTGTATATTTCATAGTATTGTTTTATGAAAGATCAAGTAACAAATTAAAATTAATCTTTTATAATCTTATAATTAAGTGATATTAAAGCATTTAATATAATATGCTTAGATTTTTATATCACAATTATTACAAATATATTTTTTGATTTTAATTATTTTATTTTTATTTTTTTAATATATATTAAAGATGAGGTCATGCCTTTAACTTTATTAAAATTTAATTGAAGTTTTTATAAAGAAAAGCTTGCTTTTAAATTATATATAAAAAATAAAGACTTAAACATATTGTTACAAAGTAGATTTTAGTATAGTATATTATAAATAGCATTAGTAGTTATATATATTCTTTATTGTATTT